TGTACTGAGCATGACGTCCCATGGTATGGAATGTCCCTTTGGCCAGTTGGGGTCAGCTGTCCTGGCTGTGCCCCCTCCCAGCTTCTTGTGCACCTCCAGCCTTCTCTGTTGGTAGAGCATGAGAAGCTGAAAAGTCCTTGACTAGTGTAAGCATTGCTCAGCAGTAACTAACACATCAGTGTGTTATCAACATTATTTTCATACTAAATCCAAAACACAGCACTACACCAGCTACTAGAAAGAAAATTAACTCTATCCCAGCCGAAACCAGGACAACATACTTCAGAGGTGGACTAGCCTAGTCATTTTGAAATTACATGGACTCAGCCACAGACTGAATATACACAGCATCATATAGCTAACATATTCATTAGTCATTCAGAATATTGTCCTATTTAATCATAACAAGAAAATAACCCAGACCTCTAACTTTAAGACTGTTTCAACTCAGTAGTCCTTTGTTTCCACCTCCATCTTTGCTTGAAATCATACCTGATTCAAAAACTCTTGAAGATTATAAGCTCACTGTACAGTTGTATGCTAGGTCTTCTTTCTCTTCGTCTCCAGTTTGATGCTTTGTCATGTTGTCTGCTTGTTCTTTTGTGCAAGAAGAAATCCAAAGAAATTTCTTATTGTTGAATTTACAGCTTGCATTGAAAAACAAAAAATATGGATGTAGTAGGTGCTGCACTGGTTTTGATATGAAGCTGGAGTTCCTGTAAGAGAATTAAACACTGACAATCCTGCGTACCCTTCCATGGCTAATTTCTCCTGTCCCTTACTACCAAACCCGAGGTGCTCCCATGAACCTTAACTCTTAGTTAACTGAAGGGGAGGGGAAGATGAAGTAGGAGGTGAGACCTTAACCTCTCCTTGTATTAGCAAAGTGCACCTTGGGTCACCAGAGAGTAAGAGTAAAGTTTTTAAAGGGGCTTGGGAGGTAAATTTCATTCTGGAGTGTTAGTAGGACACACACAAAGCACACACAAATCAATTTGGACATTATGTAAATCCAAACTTTAAAGAAAATGTGCCTTTTTGAACCAACCTGATCTTTAAATTACAGTGGCTACTGAAGTGGAATTGAAGTGTAAGCCAGTTGAGAAGGCTGTAGCAACGATGCTTTTTGCACTACAGGAAAATATACTGATCTTTGTTAGTGAGTTACACAGATAGAGGTGAAGGGAGTACAGGCAGAACTGAAATGTGGACTGAGCTCCATGGTGATTTGTGCAGTGGGTTTTGTTTGTTTTTAATGAAGTCATTCCCTTTTCTTCACATTTTCCTCTTCTGAATTTTTGAAGTCTGAGTACATTGTTTTCCCAAATTGGAAAATAAGAGCCACTTGATTTATGTAAATACCGGAGAGTCAGAGGTTTTTGAGAGTGAATTGATAAATACAATACTGTAAAAAAAATTCTTCCCTTAATTAAAGACAGCATCTTCTTAACTTAAACTCTAAAGCATCGGTGATTTGAGTGTTTGGGTTTGTATGGCTAAATTGAATAGACTGGATGCTAAGTGTTATACTACAGAGATAAAACCATCCCTTTCCTTAGGTATGGTTACAGGCTTATGATTTCCTCTCCTCAAGCCACATTTCATTTAATTGTTACACAAAGCTGTGTTCGTTCTTAGAGGAGAGGAAATAATATTCAAGAGAGAAAAGTCCAGAGATTTTGCACTTTTAGGACACTTTGGAAATTTAAATTAAAGTATAGAAATTATTCTCTGAAAATATTCTGTCACAAGTTAACATGCAAAAGAACTTAATGTTTACAGTTTTTTATTGTCTTTATGCTTCTATCATTCATAGATCTGCTCTTTCAGACTGCATAGGAATAGTATAGGATTTGGAGACTCTTCATTTACTATTAACAAAGTTAAAACATAACATCAGATATAATTGCTGCCTGACTGCAGTTGTAGGGTTTCACAGTGAATTTTTTTGAGTTACCTGTATGTATTTCATAGGAACATGGTTTAAAGACCTTTAAACTGTACCTGCTGGGTATTTGCCATTATGTTATCTGGTAAAGCCTGCAGTAATGTTTGTAAGTACACATCTAGTGAATGTGGAGTAGTGGGGTATTTCAACATAACAAAATGCTTTTCTAATAATAATTAAAAAAAATACTTCAAATAGCTTCTAAAACAGTGAGGAGAAGAACTTAATAATGGCAAAATTTAGGTCAATACTTAAGGTGTCACCTTTTTTAAGGTCTCGTTCAACACTTGGACACACAAGATCACACTGGGGACAAAGTTCTAGTTCTCATGCTGCACGACCTCAAGAACAGCGGAACCGCAGTAGGATTTCCACAGTCATACAGCCATTGAGACAGAATGCAGCGGAAGTAGTGGACCTTACAGTGGATGAAGATGGTAAGTTGCACTGGTCTGAGAAATCTCTTCCTTTTTCAGAAGCAGGATGATCAGTGTAAGGGGAGTGGAATCAATTGCATCAGTTATAACATACCATTCTATGAAAAAGGCTCAATTCTAAACAAACTAATTTCCAAGCCTGTCAGAAAATCCTCTTGCGGCCTTCCTTTTAAAATTAAAAGTTTAGCCATTCCCAGTGGGTCTACTAGATCTGATTTTTCTTCCAAAACAGACTTGGGTGTATGTCTGAGGGCTGACTCACCAGGCAGAAATTACAGAACAGGTTGGAACTACTTTAAAAATATGCACTTACTTCAATACAACACTATAAAAGGAAAATCTATCGCTGCCTATGCTTTGGAATAGTTACTGTTCTTTCAGGCCTTGGAGTAAAAATAATTTTAAAAAAGAAAAAAAATCCCCAACCCCAAACTAGTAAAGTATGTTAGGTTTCCGAAGCTGTAACCTTTCATTGTTTCCTAACATTAAAACCTACTGGCACTTCATAAGTCTATTCCTGCTGAAAATCATAAGAGCAACTTCCAGGTATTGTCAAAAGTTGAGAGAAGGAAAAACTAAAGCTCATGTACATTTTTGCAGGTTTATTTTGTTGTTGGTGGTGGTGGTTTGGGGGATTTCTTGGGCACATGCTACTTTTAATGTTTAACAAAAGTTTTGTCCTGTTGTGGTTCTGTCCCTGAGTGCATCGCAAGCTATTATCTTGCAATATCTTATTGTTCAAGTTGTCTTGATTTTTGGGGTGGGTTGGAGAGTTGGAAGGGTTTGGAATTGGTTTTGGTTGTTTGGTTTTTAAGGAAGAGGATGGGTTGATTTACAGATTCTTTTCTTTATGGATTTACTGTGAAATATCCCAACAGCTCTATCATTGAAGGGGAATAGGCATCTATTGCTTTAATTTACTCTTTAAACTCAAATTATAGCATGTAGTCTTAAATTCAGGAACCAAATTCTTGTAAAAAAGATTATTGCTGAATGAACTTTTACTTCTGTAATGTGTATATTTAACACTAGCTGTTTCTGCCCACCCCCCCACCCCCCTCGGGGAAATAACCTTTCTAAGATGAGTCTTCCAGGATTTCAGAGATATTATTTTTGGGTTTAGGCATCAAATTTCACACAAGAACTAGTGTAAAATGATAAAAATTCTGAATTAACACTGTTACAAGGCAGCTACGCACTTTATCATAATTTTACTGATGTCTTCAAAGATAGTAGTCTTAAAACTTTGCTAGCTGCTTCCATGAGCATAAGGATCATATCTCCATCTATCTGTGGATTAATGTCTGTGAAGCGTGTTGAAATTAAGTTTCTCTTAGTTAGTAGTTTGAGATTGACCACGCCCACTGGCTTTTACTGGTTTTGGGGGGGAGAACCAGAACTGTCTGTATTGCTGATGGTAAGTCAAAACAGTAACAGGGTAGTGGGGTGATTGAGGCTGATAGAACTGAGAATTGTCTGACTGCAGGATTGCTTTCAGAATGTATTAGCATCCCATCTTGAGTACTGTGTGATCACATATCAGTGTTAGGCTATACATTTCCTATGTACTTGCTGTTTTTTCCTGAATTTAAACTTTAATACATTTCTCCCAAAATGCTTTCCTTTAAATAAAATTAGTGTATTGGAATGCCACATTAAAATCCAAAGGAATTTAAATGTAGGTACCAGATCATGTTTTTTTAATGTGATGAGTTGGAAGTCTTGCCAGAAGGGAGATACGTTTATTCCCTTGCTCACTGAGTTGCTGATATACCTACTAGATATAGAGAGAAATCTTGAAAACTAGTCATATTTTATTTTAAGACTTTGTGTAAGAGAAGTATTTGAAGTGTCTTGTTGCTTTTTTTTTTTTTTTCTCCCCCCTGATATCCATGCAGACATTTTCACGAAAAAAAACTGAGCTGTTTCTGATGATACTCCCTTTTATGGTATCTCATATTCCTAGTCATGTCATTGCCTTGTCGGTAATTGGAGAGAAATTTCAAACTTACAGTCAAAAGCAGACTGTTTCAAAACTAAATTTGAATTATGCCACCAAGTATCTTTTTAAATTTTAACCTGTTTACAATTGTGTAGTAGAGAACAAGATTTATCAAGTGTTTAGTGTATTTCCCTGGATCCAATTAAATATATTGCCAACTATTACCTTCATATACATGTTCATTTTGCATATTGTCCTTTTAACAGAAGCCTCAAATACTGATATAATGAATCTGCTTTTAATATGTATTGAGACTAGAAACCAAGTTTATCTTGCTATAGCCTTTAGTACTATGCATCTAGAATGACTGAAGTTTGTAAAGTAGTACTGCTAGTTTAGACATTACTATGCTGTTCTTGGTTAGTTATCTGAAAGTTTTTCTGCGCGTTGTAGGCATTAAAAAAACGGTAAGGGTAATACTTAATCATAGCGTAGTTTGCCTGTGGATTTATGAAAGATTTCAGCAAGTGTTTTCATCATAAAGTACCAAAGTAATTTAATTTCCTTTCTAGTAGTATTTTATTCAGTAAATAAAACTTGGTATGTCGGATTTGGTTGGGAATTTATTTTATATTAATTCTTAAAATTTGAGTTGATTAAAAAAAAAAAGGAAATATAATTTTTTTTTTTTTTTTTTCCCCACACACACGAGTGAAACAGTATTAACTTTTGTATTTTGTACCTGTCAGGCTTTTGTGTTCCGACTTTCTTAGCATCTGGCAAGACCAGAATGGAGAATTTCTTCTAAAATAATTAAAAACCAGCAACAACAATAAAAAAACCCCAACAGCTTTTAAAGCTTAAAGAACATGAAAGCTTTTTTGTTTCACTAGAGCCGACAGTTGTGCCAACCACTTCAGCTAGAGTGGAGCCGCAGGTTGTGAGTTCTGCTTCCAGTAACAGTTCTAGTACGTCTACCTCAGAGCAGGCCTCTGATGCAGCTCCAAACATCTCCAACAGCCAGCCTTCTGCAGCACCAGAGACGACTTCTAGTCTTCCCAGTGGCGGCACTGCTGGTACTTCAGCTGGAGGTACAGAATAAGAGAGCTTTCTAAACTGTTGTGTTGCCTCCTAGTTCAAAGGAGGTAGAGGAAGTTAATCGGCATTCTCTAGATTAAACGGCATGTGAACTTTTAGTACTGAACGTAATGCTAGTAAGTTGAGAGGACAGACAGGAATCTGAAAAAGATCATTGATTTCTCCCCAAAGATGAAGGAAGTTGTGCTGGAGCCATCTGCTTTTGCCTATTGGAATGATTTGGTTATACCTAATGAACCACATCCTTGCTTTTTGAGGAGGTAGAATGTAGTTCACAGGGAATTAAGTCTTCCATTGCAGTGTGTTACAGGGGTAGTTTTTTTAATGTGTATCGTAAGGAAGTGAAGGATGTATAGAGATTCCTTGAACCTCCCCCTATAGATTGCTTCACTGGAAGTACATTTATACAGATCTGTATAGATACTGACCTGTAATAGAGCTGTATATACAGGTGGCACTCATAACATCTCTGAAACATGGGTGCTCTGCCCCTGTCTGCCAGTCAGGTGAGGTACAAAAAACCTGAGCTGACTACAGTTGCACAAGAATTTGAGGTCTCTGCACACTAACCACAGGGACAATCTTTCCTCCTTTCCCTACTGATAACATGTCTTAAATTAGTGGAAAAAGGCAAGTGTCCGTTCACGTCCTCTAGTGGTTCCTCTAAGTACATCCACCTGAACTATTCAGTTTTGGTTCATTTGGCAGGCATAGCTAAGTCTTCTGGTTTTGTATCCAGTTTGTTTTGTTTTAGTCTAGATCTGTTTTTCAATCAGTTAATTATTTAATCTTGAAGTACAATTCTTTTTTTTCTGTTTAAGACACTGCTTTACGGTGATCAGCTTTACTAATTTCTTTCACTTCAATATTAACTTTCTTTATCTTCAAGATGATCTAAGAAGAACTGCATCTAATACGACACTGGAAACTGGCCCTCCGGCCATGCCAAGGTTACCATCGTGCTGCCCTCAGCATTCTCCTTGTGGAGGACCTTCACAGACTCATCATGCATTGGGGCACCCACATACAAGCTGCTTTCAGCAGCATGGCCACCACTTTCAACACCACCACCACCACCACCACAACCCTCACCCAGCTGTTCCACTATCTCCTTCATTCAGTGACTCCAGCTGCCCTGTTGAAAGGCCTCCTCCAGTGCCTGCACCTTGTGGAGCAAGCAGCAGTTCTGGCACCAGTTACCATGACCAGGCATGTTTAACTCTTGTGACTCTCCCTTTGCGATTTCAGGTTGTTATAGATACGAGAGAATAGAATAGGATGCTGAATTGTGGATTATTCTCTTGTTCTGTAGCAGGCATTATAGAAGGGAACTAAAAAGAAAATTTGAGCTATAATATATGGACACCAAAAATTGAAATTTTACAGAAAGTCATAATCCAATAAGTAATCATTGATAGCTGACATCCTCTTGAGGACTGTAAGATGATAGTGGCTGTTTAAGCAAACCAAACGTAAATACCTTGAAATATACTCTGCTGATAATAGCAGTTTTGCAGTGCAAATAATTGAGCTGCTTTAAGGGAAGAAAAAAATCAAGTCTAATGTTCTGTTTATAAAAGATATAAAAGAGTTGCTTTTCTAAAAGCATTGGTTTTTAAGATATTTTAAGTAACTAAAATCACAGCTCTAAAACAATAAGGTTATAAGTAAGAACAATACTGTGCAAACTTAATTTACAACATGGAGAACTATCAGTCTGTTTTCTGTTTTAAGTGTAATACATTAGGCACAACTGAAAATGGTAAAGATTGTTTTTTGCCTCCGAATATTTCAATGCATGTAGCTCCCATATATTCACTGATTTATCCATCATAGGGTTTTTGGTTTTTTTTACACAATCTGGTGTAATGAATCTAGTCTCTCTCACCGGATTCAAGAACTTAGGAATAAGAAATGTTAACCATATCTAAAGAATGTTCCAGAGTTGAGCCTTAAAACTTAAGGCTTAAAACTTAAAAATTTGGATCCCAGTTGCTTGTGGTAGTATTTATTTTTATTTTTTATCACATTATGTTTGAGGGTGACTTTGTTTTCAATGTCTGAAGAATTGCTTGAAAAAAGATGGTTTGTTTACGCAGCAGGCATTGCCAGTAGACTTAAGCAGCAGTGGTATAAGAAGTCATGGAAGTGGTGCTTTTCATGGAACATCTGCTTTTGACCCCTGCTGTCCTGGTTCTTCATCTCGAACTGCAATTTATGGACATCAGGCTGGTGCTGGCCCAAGCCAATCAATAACAATAGATGGATATGGATCAAGTATGGTTGCGCAGCCACAGCCCCAACCTCCTCCTCAGGCATCGCTCTCTTCTTGTCGGCATTATATGCATTCTCCTTGTAAGTACTGATAAGTACTGGGTACCTGGGGTGGGGGGGAAATCAAGCAAACAAGAAAACAGCTTCCCTGGCAACATATGAAAACTCTTACTGTCTGCTTGCTTTGATCTTAGAACTGGCCTAGCAAAACACATACTAAGAAATGTATTTAAACAGTTTAGATTGTGTAGAGGATTTGAACAGGATCGAGGTGAAGTTAAAATATTTTCTTTTGAGTGACCTTAATAATATTCAGACTTCAAAAACTGTATTTACTATGAAAATATTTTTCATCTCCTTTGTATTTTAGCAATACCTTTTTCTTTCTTTTTCCTTGGTTTGTCCCCTGTCCCATCCCCCCAGTGAGTTCTGCGTGAGCAAGCTCAGAGAGTCAACTCATTTGTTTGATTGTGATTTCTTTTTTTGGATTTTATTGTCTCTACAGAATAGTGGACTTGTTGGGGGGGGTATTAAATTTTTAAAAAATTAAACAACAAACTTGAAGTAAAATTTCTCACCATATATACCTTTTTCAGCGTGCATCACACAATTTTTTTTTTTTTTAATTCTTTTTACCAAAATTGGCAAATGGAATACTTCTGGCTGCAGAAAGTATGAGTTTCTTGTAGGGTGTATTGCTGGGATCACTTTACTTAAAAATTGCATAAACACATATTCCCATGTTGCCACTGTTTACACTGATGTAATAATACTGAATAACCTGTGTGAAGATACTTTTAAAAATACATTTAAGTCAAAACGTGCTAATGACCAAATTAAAAGCACCTGATGTTTTCATTGCAGATGCCTCTTTGACCAGACCTCTTCACCATCAAGCTTCTGCATGTCCTCACTCCCATGGAAATCCTCCTCCACAGCCACAACCTCCACCTCAAGTAGATTATGTTATCCCTCATCCAATGCATCCCTTCCATCCTTCAATCTCCTCTCATGCATCTTCTCATCCTGTTCCACCTCCACCTCCACCACCAACTCATCCTTTAGCCAATGCAGCTGCTCCAATACCACAGCATCTTCCCGCAACACACCAGCCTATATCCCATCACATCCCTGCAACAGCACCTCCAGCACAGAGGCTACATCCTCATGAAGTGATCCAGAGGATGGAGGTCCAGAGGAGAAGAATGATGCAACACCCAACGTATGTCACAAATGTACTCAGAACAATATCTAAACATATAATTCATTTCCCTCAGGTTTGTAAAATGTTGCATGTGAATCTCAAACTGTTAATTGCATGGTTAGGAACTGTTAGTATTAAACCATGGTAAGAAGTGTCTTTACATACTGTCACAGTCACGTGAGCATTAAGACTGAACCTGTTCCATTACATCTCTCAACAGTGTCTCCAGGTAAGGTACAAATAGGGCATGGAAAAGAAGGGAAGCTCATGTTTCTCTTGCCCATTATTCATCCTCCAGATAACAGGCAGGAATTCCTTTTCAAGCTGGACAGCCTAGAAAGTACATCATAAGCTCCTTTCAAATGTGTTCCTTGACAGTGTGTTTTGCCTTGTTGATGCTGTTAAGATTCTTTTTATCTAACTAATGCTTTAAAATAAAATGAACAATTTATCATAAGAGACCATTTGCCAGGTTTAATTCAGATTTAACCTTAGATACTTACCTAGCTTTACTGTGCCTTTATGTCTTTAGAAGAGAGGGAAGAGACTGAATAATACCTGTATGAGAATGTGACCAATGTTGAGATGTAGCTTTGGTGATACTGTTTAAGAGACGCTACTGTTGTTCCTAAACTAGATTCATGACACTAGTATCAACAGAAATTGGGTCAGTACTGGCTTGGTATTCAGTCACAAAGTAACTGAAGTTATTTTAATTCTGGAGATAATGCTTTTAAATATCCAAGAGAATTTCAAGAATGAGCTCTCTAGTTGTTGCTCCTAACTTTATTATAAAATTCTACTGGTAACTAACTTAAAACTGATTTAGAAGACAATGCTTAAACAAAATTTTGCTTTAGCTGCAACTTTTGAGGCAGTTTCCAGGTAATTCATAAAAATATCTATAGTCAGTAATTGCTCACAAAGTGGCACATGACAGACTTCCCCTCCCTCATCCCCCAGGAAAGTCAAATATAACCCTGCTTTCTCAGTCATTAAAATTTTGATCTGTCCAAACCTATACCTGTTCTTTTGTTATCTTTGCTATGCAAATGGCATAACCTCTAAACACCCTAACCTAAACATACAGGCATGCTGCTTGTGTATGCCCATGATTATGCAATGATACCCAAAAATTAATTTTGGAACATTCAAGCCAGTGAATGTGAGACAGCAAGATAGCATTTTAAGGAACAATAATAGTGGTAGCTATCTTATCAGTTCTGGAAACTTTCTGGTAGTTCGAGGATTGGAAATGTGAATATTGGCATTTCTTAGCCTAGTGAATTTTCTTTGTGTGTATAGCAACTGTAGTCAAATGTTGATAATAGGTTCTTCCTTGACATTCTCTCTGAATTCACCAATCTCAGGTCAGACAGTGTCAGCTTGCTCAGTGAGGTTTCTCCTCTATAGTTCTGTTTTGTAATCTTATGAGATTGTTCCACCCTTGGTCTTTCGTTTCTCCTCTAATCCTCATAAAAATTACATGCAAAATCAATACCGTAGGTGTCTTGGCCCAACCTTATATAAATGAGATTATGCTCTGACAACCAGAAACTTGTGTGTATTCGCTCTGTTATTTAATACACAGACTGAGACTGCCAGCAGACTTTGCAGTTCCTTCGGTTCCGTGTCCCAGCATCTCAGAATGTTCTTAAGATGTTGTTTCATCCTTCATTTCTAGATATAGCATATGGGATAGTCTAGCTTGTATACCTTCTGTCTAACAATATAGGACTTTTTCAGGATTGGAAGAAGAGAATGGTTAGAGGCCTCTTCTCACTGTTATGTCTCAAGTGTGGGTACAACAGCTATAACTTCCTTAAGGTCTTGGAATTGGCCACAAAATGAGCAAAAGGCAGTGTGTGAGGGTGCACTGCATTTGTATAACATACGGATTTTCTGTTTATTTAAATCTGATCACCCACTTTATACTAAGATTGTGAGATAGCAGCTTAGGAGTTTTACATTCATAGAAATAATTTCAAATGTGTTTCTTTTAAATTAAGACTAATTTTAGGAAAAATGGGCCTACGTGACATTCAATTTTTATTGAACTATGGAAGTTGTTTTGCTGTGTTTTTTAATTAAAATATGTTCATGCAGATATTTCCCCATAGTTACTTGACAAACTGAAGGGAGGTGAGACTAGGAGTAGGCTCTGCTGATAGGTCTGTTCCCATGTTGGTCTGTACCATTGCAGAAAACTACTACTTCTAACACTTATACAAGCTTGACAGATTTCTCTGGAAAAGTGTCAATTTACAGTGATTGGAATAGTGTGCTGTTAAGTAGCTTTTTACTTCTCTAGACATGTGAATTTACAAAATGTCTAGTCTACTTTGTCAGGTAGTTTAAGGTAGTTGAATCTGAAGTCAGTGTACTGATTTTGGCAAAATCCAAGTTTCTAGGTTGAATAAAAAAAAAAATACTGTCTGCGTTGAAAGCAATGGAGAGAAAAATACCAATCCATTTCTTTCTGTAACTGGGAAGTGGTGAGGTAGCAGAAGTCAGCTAGCAGGTTTTTTTTGAAGTTTTTTTCCAACACTGTAGTTGTTGGATACCAGCTGGTGTGGAAAAAACTGTGTGCTCTTATTACTTGAGCTATGACACAAACATGTTTCAAGGAAAATTACCTCTGATTAGTGTATTAAGTGTCCCCTAATTACTTTTGCTGGTATAGTTTTACTAGAAATAAACTGCAGCATAGCTGTGAGCGACTCTGAATCTCAACATGACCGTCATGTGGCCTTTGCCTTCCTACCTGCAGTTTGAGGTTAGGATTAAACCCTTTGTCAGTCCTTCTGTAGTCACTTCTGCCAAGTGAAGGGCAGATCACAGTAGCTGAAGCTGGCTTTGTCTTTGAATATTAAATCTGTATTATAATTAGTTTCTAACTTATATCTGAAGTTGAAATGAAAATACTGTATTGGGAGTTTTATTTTTTTAGTTTAAATGCATTCCAGTAATTCAGTCTGTAACGATTATGGATGTTGCTTTCTTGATACTAACAAGTATGTGAAATTAACTGTTGCTGTTTTATGTTGTTTAGACGTGCTCATGAACGGCCTCCTCCACATCCTCACAGAATGCATCCCAATTATGGTCATGGGCATCACATCCATGTGCCTCAGACAATGTCTTCCCATCCTCGACAAGCTCCAGAGAGATCTGCCTGGTTAGTAATCAGATACTATTTTAGTTTTTTGGGACTCAGGACAAAAGACCATAATGTGCTGATCACAGTGTTGATAATGCTGTCTGTGATTTTAAGAAGTGCTGCATGCACCTGTAGTTTAAAATCTGTAGACATTGATATGGCTTTGAAATACTGCTTTGAGTACTCAGTATCTTAAATATATTTCTAGGGGGGGTTATCCATTGCTTTTAAAGTGGAATTGAGTGTTACTGACTCTAGGTAGTTATTTCAAGAATTGATTTTAAAATAGGCAAGTAAAACATTGCTGAAGACTGTTCTATTTGTGCTCTTTGTAAAATAGAGGTTTGGATTTGAGTTACAAGCTAATTTATTTTCTCTCCTCTTTGTCTGAACTTACTTAAAATTGCATCAAGCCCACTCATGAAGGTTACACTTAAGTTCCACAATATTTTTATTATGAAAAAGAGATACTTTTGACCATTAGGGAAGAGGTGCATGCGTGACAGCTGCTTTTCCCACAGCATGAGCTACGGAGAAGACTCCACACTGATAATATTCCTGGGCACAATAAATGTGGAGTTGTCTCTACTGATTTATCATACTAAATCTTCACAGCTGATTTAAAAATAACTTTTAGTTATGGTAGGATTAAGATGATTCTTTAGCAAAGTTTTTAAATAAGTTTAAAAAAATTCTTATGTAAAACTGTTATGGTAGCTGTGCTGTGTTGTATGCTTTCCAAAGCAGTGGAATTGTATCTAGGAGTCAAGATGTACCTTTACTGTAATGCCACTTTCATTCATGTGACAGGGAACTGGGAATTGAAGCTGGTGTGACTGCAGCTACTTACCCTCCAGGGCCTTTGCATCCTCACTTGGCCCACTACCATGCACCTCCTCGACTTCATCATTTGCAAATAGGGGCTCTTCCTCTAATGGTAAGGAGATAGCTTATGAAAAATGATGATCATTGGTGATTGTAATTACTTTGTTTGTCAGGAAAATTATTTTAAGATTTACTGCATTTAATTGGACATGTAACATTGCTGCAAAAGTTAGTGGTTCAACTGAAGAAGAAAATACTTCAGTGTTTCTGTGTGTTGCTCCCAGATGGGGAGCTAGAACAGACTCATGTCTAAGAGAAAACAGTTTAGGACACTAACATTTCTAACTTCAGCTCTTGTAAAATGAAACATACTTGAATTAAATTGTCACTTGCATTGCAATGCATTGACCCTCTGCATCTGATTTTTAAAGTTCAGATTCTTCTTTAATGAGCTTTGGGTTGTTAAAGGTACCAACTTTCCACCCAGTGCATAAGGATTAGCACTGGTGCTTTATTTTTAAGGTGTGTATACAGCGCAGCTAGAATTCCATCTAGAGATTTGGTTGTTTTCAAATAATATTTGGTGTTCATCAGCCTAATTCTGTGTGATAAAGTATATAATTTTGTAGCATGAAGTGTTATAAGCAGCAGGAAGTGTGAGGGTAAACTAGTCCCTTGTTACACATAACTTTTTTAAATCTACAGTAGAAAACCAAGGAAAATCAGCATAACTTTCTGACTTTTACAGAGTATTATTTTTGAAAGAATGTTTGTAGGTTTATTTAAAATAGTCTTAATTTTATTTAATGAAAATTCACAGAGACACAAATTTAGTTTAACGGAGTATGTTTAGTGTTTCTATGTGGTATTCTGTGTGGCTAACCCGTATTATTTAACCCTTTTAAAGCTAGGTAATCTAATCAAAATTGTGGGCTGATCTGTAAGCGAATGCTAAAATTGTAATTAAAAATCAGCCTGCAAGTACTTGTCCATCCGAAATTCCTCTGTTAGTTGCCAAAATTGACATCTAGGCATTGAACTGTAAATTTACAACCAATACTGTAATAGCTGTCTCTTCATAGTCTGGTCTTAACGTTGCTTGTTCCTTGCTATTTAACCAACAAATGTGATAATAATCCTCAAGTACTTCCCTGAGATATCAGGGTTGGTAATTCATTGATGCACAGCTTGCATGCTTACCACAGACTTTCTAGAGCAGTCTGTAAAATTTGGTATTTTAGTGTAGCCAGAAAGATTCTTACTGCATAACCTTATCTCCTGTACATCATCTATTCAGATTAAGATTTTCTGCATTATTCTTCAGTTAGGTGTCTGTTTTTTCAAGTGGATGAAAAATGGCTTGCCTCTCACATTTATTTCATGTGTTATACTGTAACGAATAACACCTGTTGCTTTAGATCCTCAAAGAGGAAGGGCCCTCCTAATAGTTCAGGGAACTGCAATTGCATTAGGATGCAGCAAGTTAAACATATGCCTATTTTATCTCATTTTCTATAAGGGCTAATAAGTCAATTATGGGATTTATTTCTACTATTGCTGTGAAGTTTCTAGAAACTTCAGAGTTCAGCTGATCCTTATATTACAGTGTGATGAGAAACTTTTAACTGTATTTTCACTTTCATAGCGGTATTCCTACAACTAAAATGTTGCTCAAGCAAGTAGTGGGGACCCCGCTGCTTATCTTCTTTTTAGCAATAGAATAGAAGAAAGCTGTGATAGAGAATCTTTAGAAGTATTTCCTGAATGTGTGATAAAATACTTTAGGAAAGTCTTGCCCTTCTGCTCAGTAACTGCTGTTACTAATTGATAAAAGTGTCAGATGAAATAGGGTTCTTTAACTGTACAGAAACTTGTGCATGTGTTTGTGTAGGGATATCTAATCCTCATAACAGTAATTCACGAATCTCTGGATGAAATGGAATTGAAGTTGTTTGTATTTTGAGTTTTTGTACACACTGTACTGACAGCATGTTTTACAGTGTATAGACTGCTGTAAACAGTACTTCTCCAAATGTTTGGGATCTGTTTTGAACCTTGCTGTGATCAGATTGAGTGTTACAACTTTGAAGTTGTGTTCTGAGTCTCTGACGAATTTGAAGTGTAGTCAGATTACATGCACTAGAAGAACCATAAAGGCAGGTTAGAGCACTGCTAGAAGTTATATATACAATGAGTTCAAAGCATTACAAATGCCTTTTGATGATTCTCCCCCTTCTATGGCAATAATGAAAGCCAAAGTTTTCTTCATTTGCATGTATGTGAGAGTACAGCATGCAGCAAAATTGACTTTGAATATAGAGCAAGTAGTCAGCGAAGTTTTTCATCTAACAAACTTAACCGAATATTAAACAAAAGTGCCATTTTAGTTTTTATTAAAGAGCAACAGCTTAATTGCAGCTGTCACCTAGGTTTTTTCATTGTAACTTTAGGAATAGGGGCAGGGGAGGAGAGGCTGAACTGTGATTAGAGTCCCTCTGCTAAGTGGTTAATGTTATGAGGAGTGCTTTCTACTTTCAGTAAGTGCAGAGGATACTAAATAGCAATTTACAAGGCTCATTAGTTGTATTCTTGATGCAAAACTTAACCGAATATTAAACAAAAGTGCCATTTTAGTTTTTATTAAAGAGCAACAGCTTAATTGCAGCTGTCACCTAGGTTTTTTCATTGTAACTTTAGGAATAGGGGCAGGGGAGGAGAGGCTGAACTGTGATTAGAGTCCCTCTGCTAAGTGGTTAATGTTATGAGGAGTGCTTTCTACTTTAGTAAGTGCAAGAGGATACTAAATAGCAATTTACAAGGCTCATTAGTTGTATTCTTGATGCAGATGTTGCCAATTGTTTTTTTTTTGGGGGGGGGGTGGAGGGGGAGTCTTTTAAAGCAACTCATGCAGTAGCTCAACTAAAAAAATTGTGTTGAATCCACTTTCTGAAATAGCATGCTGCTCAATAGGCAGTGTGCATTTTTTCCTGTCTGTTCTGGAGTACTAAAATCCCTTCAAACTACTGCCAGACCATAAAGGGCATAATGGATTATTTGGGCTTTAATGACACTAGTACTCTGATACATGAATTTCAGATTTTAATTGGATGCAGATAAAGATTAGGTTATCTAGTCAGTGCTGGAATGTAGACTGCAGTTTTAATCCTCAGGGAGACAAAATGATAAAGATATGTTGGGGGAGATAATTAGTGTTCAGGAGCTTTGACAGTCCGAATGTGTGTGTGTGTGTGGGGGGAATCTCCTTTTCTATTAGCTTGATTGAAGAAACTTTCACCTGTTTAAATGTTGCTTCAGGAGTAATCCTAGATTAAAAGCAGTTAAAAAGAGCTTCCTTCATATCTATGTAGCCAAGGATTAGGCTGCTTCCCTCCTTGATTTAATACAATTACTTTGTTAGGCATGATCCTGGCATAGAGTAGTTTCTGTTCCCATCACTACTGCTTTAATGCCTTGTATGTGCTTGAGGAAAGATCTTCTGTCAAAGTGATTTTTACTATAGATTCCATTCTGGACAAATATCCATTCTGCGAACTTGAACAACATTTTTAGGAAGAATCAACTGAAGATCAATGCGTGGCATAACTAATGAAACATCAGACAAGTCAGACACAGGAGACAGAGGCTTTCTTCGTTCTTCTCTGATGCCAGTGCTTGTTGTTAGATGCCACTTCAATTTCTGCTTACTCTGAGTGACTTTGGCTGCTCTTTTGGCACTGTTGATGAAAGGCTTTTTGAGTCAGAGTGCCCAGCACCAGTTATCATACCTGGGTGGACAGGATGGGAATTTCCGTAATTTAATAAGCTGAGATGGATGTTAAAAGGAACGTGACTTTTTAATAATGAACTATATACCAGCCATAATTCTGACTAGCCAAACCATACTTACGGCTGTAACGCGTATCCAAGCAGAATTCCTTTTCTTCTGTTGCTTCAGGAAAGAAAAGGCATCCTAGTTTGTAGTGAAATCTGGAAGGGGAAAAGTCCAAAAAGAAATCTCCAGAAGATGTTTCTAAATTTGAAATGGTCCCCTTCTCTATACTGCCGGCTCTCCTGTGTCTCATGTTTTCCAGATGTTATCCATTTACGTGAATGACCAGAATGCTATGCTTAGCTGTAAAATCGGTTACTTCTTGTAATTGCAAAGATGAGAATATTTCTAACAATTTTTCAGGCTTCAAAAAATAAGAAAGGACTAAAAAAACGGAGAATAATGTGTTATTTGCTATAAAGTTTCAAAAGTCTGCAGACATTCACTTAGAAATTGTAATTGAGTTCAGCTTTGAAACAGGAACTTGCTCTGAATATGAGTGTGTTACTAGGACACTTAAAATCAGTGCTTTATGTTTTAAATCTGCTCTGTTAAAGAAAGGGTTATTTTTATGAATTGGATTTGTTCCTTTTTGTCATTTAATGGGGGGTGGGATGGAAGGTTAAAACTATAAGGTCTTTTTTCTCCTTCCTTTCATCTTCTCCTTTTCATAATTAAAGAAGAAAAACAAAATCTCTTCAGCTCTAAACTGATAACTAAATTTTAAATGGAATATAGACGTGAAGTGAGCAGTGTTCCCTTTGTGCCTTTTAACTTGGTATACTTTTACTCTTGTTTGGGTGAATAACTAACTACAACTGGTCTGGGATTTTGGCATTTTGTCTATTTAAAACTTAAGCAACAAACCTGCCACTGATAGAGTATTCTATTCAGCTTGTTGTTTTTAAAACACGCAAAGCTGTCATAGATACAATTTTCAGATCATATTATGCATAGTAGTGGGATTTGGTGGTGGGTGGTTTTTTGCTGTTGTGTTTTTGTTGGTTTTAGTTTCTGTTTTATAAAATATATCTTAAATAATGGAGGCTATCTACATGACTCAAATTGTTTCAGCTACCTGTTAATCAAAGAAGTTCCTGGGATATGCTGTTCCAGTCTTTTGACTCCAGCTTCTTCTGCCTTTTTGAATAGTGTCTTGTTGATTGTGAATTGGGGGGGGGGGGAATTATCTGGACTTTACAGTTTGCTAGCTATGGTGTGATAAATCTCTATAGGGTTGATGCAAGCCTTGAGAAAACTCCTGAATTTATTTGTGAACCTAGACTGCAGCTTGCCAGTCAGAGGGAGATTTCTGGATCATAATTTAAACAACAGCAACAAAAAAGTTACTTAGGGGTAACTTAACCTCTCTCAGGTGTTATACATCCAGCTTTCATATGCTGTCCCCCTTTTTCTTCTATTTCAGAGCCTTACTGTTTTTTGCTTTAACTGTTGAATGACTCGGAGTGGTTGAGGTCATCTTTACACCTAGTTGTAAAAATTGGGAGGGATTTGGAGGTATAGGCCAGTAGGTCCCAGTACATTATGGTAGATGTGTGCAGGTCAGAATAATATCACTCAGAGTGTAGTCATACAAGTATCACAGCTCTAAGAGATGCAACTGTTCCATACAAAAAAAAGCTAACAAACTGCCTGTAACATATCTGAACACTTAGCTTAAGGCTGTAACTTAATGTAGCTATAGTAGTTCAAGGTGAACTTTAGGTTTGCAATAGCCTTGATTAGCTGCATCAAATTTAACTGCATTTTTCAAATAAGAAAATGGACTTTTGTAATGCAGCTGCTACTTTTTTCTTAATATAAACATGAATTACTGTTCTACAGCTTTTTGTAGAACATAGGCTATTGAATAGCACTCCTTTTATCTTCCCCTCAGACACAGATACATTTAGGTTTTAGTTACGCAGCACGCATAACTTGTTCCTTTGCACAGTGTCTCTCTATAAAAACTGCAACTTTTCCTTGTTTGAATTTGGCTTATTAAGATATTAATTGATCAGCTTTACTACTTTTTGAGTATTGTTGTGGTCTTAAGCAGTTAACTGGATAAGGTTATTGTTGGGATTTGTTTTAATATGTATGAAGATCATACTTAATGTGAACCATTGAATAAAAGGTTGGGATGGACAAGATAAGTAGTACCATACAATGGAAGAATATCTTCACTGACTATGGCAACTGAAAGGTAGAAAGATCCTGGAAAGATGGAAGGTGTTTAAAGGAAGGTAGCAAGGAAGAAAATCTTCCCTGCAGGCTAGCTGTTTCGAACTGTTTCAGAATGTTTGTGTTGTAAATGGTTCAGACTTGGCCTTGAATTTTTTAGTTGCTGCAAATTTTTGTGGTAGTGGGAAGTGTCAATAGAAAATGCAAAACCAGAAGCAGATGATAGTTGTTCTACAGAAAACAAACAGTTCTTGGCAAACTGTTACTGGAATTTGCAGGTCCAGAGTCTATTGCTTTAAAGTATATATTATAATTTGACTGTATCCAAAATAATATATACAAGCACTTACTGCAGACTAGCATTACCTTTAACTCTTTAGTTACTTCATTAGCTTTAAGTTTTTCCTTTTTTTTTACGTTCAATATGAAAACTTACTGAAAACACACTTCCATTTGTGTGTGAAGCTGTTTCAAGAGAGCTGAAATCTTCTCCTTGCATTTGAAGCATGATGGTAACTGTCAAAGGGATTTAGTTAGTTGGGCATTATTGATAGTTCTCTCTTGCCCATCTTTCCTCCAGCTTGTAGTCACAAATATAATTAGTTAAAATCTTGCTATGTTAGCAGACTGCTTATTCTGCAGGCATAAAAGAGCTGTTTTTTCTTACAGAGGTGGCTTTTCAAAATATAGCGTTTTACTTGGCCAGAAATCTAAGCTGTGCTCTCGCAATATTTTATAAAAGAGCCTGTACATAATGTATGTTCAGATAATTTTGCAGAGATGCTATGCCGTTCCCCATCAGGATAATATGAAGGCCCATTTATTAGCATGAAAATGTATTGTCCCACCCAATATTTCTGTTGTCTAAGTTCAGTAGTTTGTTGTGGTATGTACTCTGAGAAATTCTTGGTTGGTTTTGTAGTGTTAAATTTATAGGTTTCTTAAATAGATAGTCTCCAGTAGCAGAATTTGTTCCAAATGGGAGACCTGTCTGAGTGCATGTCACTGCAGTTGGTAAACTCTGACCTTTGAGGCAATTGGAACTGTAACTCTTGCATTACAGCAACACACTGTGACTTTACAGCTCCTATGACGACGCAGTATCTGCACTATCAGATGCATTGCTTTCCAACAGAGTGTTTTCAAATCCTGGTGAATCAAAAAAACAAGCAGTGAAAGTCACTCCTGAGACTTGGGTTAGGTTTTGTCAGGAGTCTCCTTTCCTCTGAGTGGAGGCGATCGATTCACAATGTAATAACAGGCAATGGAAACTTCCAAATGATGCCAAACAGATCTATGCCTAGTAAAAACCTGGGACAACAAATAGGGTTGTAGCGTAGATGAGTGACCTAGTTCTTTAAATGCGTTTTCTGTAATTGGAAGACGAAGTAGAATTACATGCTTAAATGCAGAATGGATCATAAATCACCAATTATCTGAGATAGATTTCTTACAATGTAGTTTTTACAAATTACCATATTTTTAATGCACTCTCCCAAATTCCTGTTACAGCCACAGTTTATAATTGTCAAACAGTAAGACCTGTGACACCAACAGATGTTACTTACATGAAATGTTTAGGTATGCAGATGAATATACATATTTTGTGATATAAAATTCTATGTTTGCAATCATATTGAATTCATGTATTAGTGTATAATCTCTGTAAATACATTCTGCATATTGCATAACAACTTAGATCTTTAAATTGGTACACTGTTGGAGTTTGCAGCAGTCATCCTGTCTTGCTTGTTTCCCATCTCCAGCTCTGATTAGGACCAGACCAACAGATATTTAGGCTGCTTGCGAGAGAGGCACCCCCTGTATTAGGATTCTGGAAACATTCTGAAAGTTAAATCTTTAGTTTCTACTTACTGTGGTTTGTAAAAAATCTAATACTGTGGCTGTATTTGTGCCTTATATTGGCACTACATGGTCATCATTTAACAAGCACCATGTAAACTGCTTTAAAATAATCAGATTCTGTTTTTCTTTCTGAAAAAAATTATTTAGGGCAGAGAAATCTTTTCTATCCCTGTCAGCTTTTAGTTACCAGGCTGGATTTGAAAAATACAGAAAGGTAGCTTATTGGTCTGTTACGTGAGTAACTTTTTCTAGGCCTATGCTTTCTCACAATGCATTAATTCAGTTTTACACCTTTATATATGTTAAGCTTAGAAGTGTCTGCTGGAAATAAGAAAAGCCACACATGAATACCTGAGTTCATGAATAATATCTGGGATGTCTGACTTGTTGACAGCCTCATGAGATGAATTTTGAGCTGTCATATACAGCAGCAGAGATGTTACCAGCTGATAGCACAGAAAGGAAGATAGTCCTCAAGTACTTAACATTATTTCCAAATGAACTGCTGCTTACAGTTGTCATGTCAGTGCACTCTACATGATTAAGTAAACTGAATCTGCTGATCATTTGTTGTTTTTTTTTCACCTGTTCATTAAAAATTGCTGCTGGTGTGTTTCTGACAAAAAGTCAATACCATTATTCACTCATCTTGTGGGGGTAAAAATGGAACGCAGAAGCCCTGCTGTGAAGCTGGTCCTTAGTCTATTAACTACCTCTCTGCTTTCCTGTATGAAAAGCACTGGTACTTGAATTGCCTGTAGGGTATGTCACTGGACACTGGTATTTTGTTCACTGCTTGTATCTCTTAATATGCAAGGAAGTCAGCAGATGCTTGAATATAGAGTGTATGTAGAGTGGCCTGTGACTTTAGATGTGTTTTGGGTGTTACTTTTTTTATCTGCCTCTAAATTTGAAGTGTGTCTGAAGATGTTCAGTTGTTTTGGGTAAGATAAGGATATTGGCTGTTTTTTCCAGACTGAGTATTAGCCTTGTTTCTTCTGTGGTACCAAAAACTTACATTTAAGAATCTATAGCAAGTCCTTTTCGTAACTTCATGCATAGCTTTTAGGTGTTTTGTTTACAAAAATAGGTAGATATTTATGGCGGTTTATACAAAGTAGGTTGAGATTTTGAGACTTGGGAAGTGAGACCAAGCAATACGTAATGCAGATGTGGAGAGATTATAATAGAGGATCTAGTCTCACTTCTGTTTTGCTTCTGGTTATGTTTAGAGAGCTCAGAGTGGTGTTGTGTTATGCCGTCAGTTGGAATTGTATGCTCAAGCGGAGGAGTATAAATAATAAGTGATTCAATAAAAGCAAAAGGATCTTAAATTTTACAAAGTGAACAGTAAAATACTGAAACTGTTCTGAATAGGTTTAACTTAACGTCTGCTGTTTGAATAGGTACCAGACATGGCGGGCTACCCTCACATCCGTTACATTTCATCGGGATTGGATGGAACATCATTCAGAGGCCCTTTCAGGGGCAATTTTGAGGTTTGTAATAGAATAAAACTAGATATATGTCAAAATGTGTCATGAGGGAATATGGGGAGGGTATATGGTAGAGTTAGTTCTATATATAGATGTAAAAGAATCATAAAGAAAATACCCTTTATTTATAGAATGACCTCACTATCGTGAACTGGGATAAACGCATATTGAAAAGTCAGTCAATAAAAGGTGCCCTGGACAGTGTAGGCTTAGGTGGTTATTAACTGACAGTACATCTTGCTCTGCCTACCACCCCAGTCAGTAGGATGTAGTATTCACATGATATGTTGGTAAAAGGTAGTGGTGTCTCTGAATAACTGTGCCAGGATCCTCCTAGTGAGGGTGAAACTTGGCAACTTTAACAGTGCTGTCCTGTTTGTTATGTAGTGCAGGAGTTGAAACTGAGGGAAGGAAAAAAAAAAAAAGGAGAAAATAAAAGGTATCAGATGCAGAGAGTTAATGACCTAGTCCACTGAAAACATCTTCAGTGACATCTCATGGTTCTAATAAACTCATTGCTGGAGAAGAATAAATCAGTCATTGTATTTCAACTTAAGCAACTTTTTTTTTTTTCCTAAGCCTTAATGACTGTTAGAAAGCAAATACATAGTGCATTTTAATTGCATTTTCCTCATTTGACTCACAAGTATGTGTGAACATACTGATAGCCATTCCTAGCTGACAAACAATTTCTAATTGTTTTAGTAGTAAAATTAGTGTTTCCCTATAACTTAAAATACCAGGCAGTATTGTGTGGGTTCTTCTACAGAAACCCATCACTTTTCCCAAACAACATATTCTTTTTTGCTTTGTTTGTATTTGAATAAGTTGGGAATTGAGAGTTTGTCATTCTGCAAATGGGTTAGAATAAAATTAATATTTACTCAAAGTAGTTGAAATAACAGTTCTTACACTGTTTATTCCTTGATAATTTTTTAGGAGCTGATTCACTTGGAGGAACGATTAGGCAATGTTAATCGTGGAGCAACACAGGGAACTATAGAAAGATGCACATATCCACATAAATACAAAAAGGTAAGGATTTCTCAAATTGTGGTCGTCTGTATTATTTCTTTGAAAATGTAGTAACGTTTTGGTTTAGCTTAAATCTGCAGAAATGTCAGCTTCAAATAGTGCATGTTTTCTGTATCTTGCAATTTCAAGGACTGTAAGCAAAGCTTGCAATGCCAATTCTTTCACAAAGAAAATAAAAAATTTGGTCCCTAGATAAAGAGCCACTGTAATGTGATAAACAGAAGTGGTTTGATATGATTTAATAACTTGTCCAGCAGTTATGAATAGCCTTGTGAGCAATGAAATAACTATTGGTAATAGCTAAATTGTCAACAGACTTCAGTGGTAACTCATCGAAGTAAGACTTTATTTTTGCAATAAATTCTTCATGATGCTTACCTGCTTGGTATGTATAATTTTAACCTTTACTCTGATCACATTAGGAAGACTGGGACACTAGGAAGTTTTGAATCTGGTACAGAATTTTGGCAACTTAAGTTGTCTCTCAGTGGAGTTTATTATACTGTAATATGGAATCCCATCCACACTTACATAGTGTTCACGCTTGATAAATAGTGACTTAACATACTAGGTTTGAAAGGATTTTTTTTTTTCATCTTCATTAATGAAATGAAGATATTTATACATAGACAGCAAGTAAAAGGACTGGTTGCAACAATAGGAAATTAATATATACACAGTCCAGTAGACTTTTGTAATTAACAATAGTTAAATAAATCTGAAATGTCCTGTGATTTTTGCTCCAACTGCTAGTTCTTGATTCATTTTGGTTCAGATACATCTGAATAAATATTACGAAATGTTTTCAAAGAAGTATGTGTTGAATATGTATTAAAAACAGATTTTACTCAGTTTGTCAATAATGTCATCTCTACTAATAAGGTAACAACTGATTGGTTCTCACAGAGGAAACTGCACTGCAAACAAGATGGGGAGGAAGGAACAGAAGAAGACACAGAGGAAAAGTGTACCATCTGTTTGTCTATATTGGAGGAAGGTGAAGATGTCAGGTAAATAGTACCACTGAATATGAGAATATGTTAATGTTCTGGCTCTGAGACCATAATTGAATATGGCCCTCTACTCTTTGCAATACTCCCTAGATTAACAGTTACACTTAAAAACTATCTGTCATTGAACCAATAAATAAAACAAGCTGAAATTCAAAACGCACATTGTTCAGTCTGTATTGTCTCTGGGTAGAATGTAGGTTATTTTCTTATGGTCTTCTATAAGTTGACTGTCTGTCTTACAACATGAGCCCAAGCTGATACCCTGAATTAATCGGGACTGTCGATTTTAGTTTTTCTGGAGTAATGCTACTTAGCTATAACAGGTTTAAATCAGTGTAATACAGCAGAAGCTAGCTGATGCTTGACTTCATTGCCCATAGCCATTTATTCTTGGAACTAGGCAAAATGCAGGTTCAACTGGAAAGGCTAGTGAAACTTGCGGAAAAACATGCATGTGCAAAAAGAATAGACACCTCAATAGCAAAACCCACATTACCGTTTTTCCAGTGGGTATGTTGATATGGAAATGCTTTATTAACACTAAGATTTTTCTGTTCTGATGACAGGCGCCTTCCATGTATGCACCTTTTCCACCAAGTATGTGTAGATCAGTGGTTGATTACTAACAAGAAGTGCCCCATTTGCAGAGTGGACATTGAGGCTCAACTGCCTAGTGAAAGTTGACACCGCTTTCCAGAACTCTTGTCCTCCCTCTCGCTCCCTCTCATCCTTCCTGGTACTGCAGTCAACCAAAGATGGCATGACTTACCTGCGCAGATTTGGAAGCATTGAACCTGGAGTGCTGGCTCTGCTATATGGTACAACTAATGCTAGACCTACAGTTTATGTAGAAGACAGTTGAGTTTCAGTGTATTTATAAAACTTTTTTTTAGGTTTTACATTTTTTTTCTTTTAATTCATTACTGTATTTTTGCATGGTTCCTTGTATTGCATTTGTTTGCACATATTATGGGCTTTGTGACCCCAAACTTGCAGGCAAGATTAGCTGCTTTAGTAAGTAGAGTTGTGTGGTCTCTTTTTTTTTTGTTTGTTTGTTTTACATAGTATCGAGCTTTGAAAGTATGATTTCACTTATTACTAACCTCGGATTCCTTAATTTAATCAATCATATATTTTAGTTTAAATGTATAAAGATCATCTAGAAAAGGATAATATTATGTATTGAGACATTCCTTAATTAGGAAAAAATGGCTGCTGTATATTTACAATATCAATTCTGAGTCAAATAACATCCTTAATACTGGGAACAGAATATGAACTATATTCAGTTTGACTGATACATATAGCATACTCATCACCAGAGTTTTTGTCTGATCAGATTTTTGTGTTCGTTTTTAAAATTTCAGCACAATGCAGATATATTTGAATGTCAATATTAAACATTTAGACTGCTGTTCAGATTGTATTTATCATTTTCTTCCTATGTCTAGAAATTTGAATCCCTAACTTAAATATTTGCTGCTGTGAAACAGCTGTAGTGAACACTAAATGTTGATTTCAGTTAGCTGGATTGTAGATACTTGCAGATTGAAAGAATTATTAGGGAAATGGAAAAAGAGCTTAGAATTTGTTTGGTCTTCTGCTAACTTAAGTTGAAGTATCTGCGCACATTGAGGGGGTTTTTTGGTTTGTTGGGGGGTTTTTTGGTTTAGTTTTTTTTTAAATATGAAACCATTCAATAAGGACTTAGAGCTGTAGGGGTTTTGGTTTTTTTTGGTGGGTGGTTGTTTGGGTTTTTTTTGGCAGATATACACGCATTCATAGAACTTCTAAAGATTCCAGGCTTGTCTTGGGATTTTTATTAGTTTTAAAGTTAATAAAGTTAGCTAAATCCACTTGTCTCTTGTTTTATTTTTCATTAGTAAATTGAAAGCCTGTAAATTTCTGTAGAAATTGAGACACAAATTATGTGGTTACCTAGTTTTTGCCTTGATCATAGATTCCCTCTTTATAAATTACCAACAGTCCATCACTGATTGAAATATTTTCTATAGTTAAGATTTGCTGCATAATATAGTATATAGAATTAAGTTATAATGTACTAACATTTCGCCTTTGGAGGAGGTTTTAATCCACATCAGGATTCAAGTTGCTCATCAACATTCTTTCACATATAATAGATTATAGTTTATTTAAATGTGCTCAACATTGCAAAATGCAAATGTGCAAAAACATTGCGACAGTATTACTGTCATTTTGGAAAAGGTGTTCCTCGGGGATCATATATGAACATGTCAATAAGCTTGCATTAAGCCACCTGCTTTGTAAGTGGATTGAATAATAAATACCTTCAGTTTCTCTTGTCTTTGTCTTTCATAATCAGATTAAGTGTAAAATGGTTTACAGTAAACCTAGAAGATGAACTGTTATGTTTACACTAAAAAAAGTGATCCATTTATAAATATTACCTTATCTAATTTGATGCCTGTTTTTGTCTGGTTAAAGCTGCTTCCCTTTTATATTTTTTTTTTTTAATCTGTTAGGAGTAGCATTTGCCAGTGCAGTGTCTATTGCTGGCAACAAATGTTAACACCTCTGGCACTGAGGCTGTAAGTGGAGAGAAATGTTATTCCAGCATGTGTGATAAATGGACATTTTCAAGCTTAACTGCATTGCTAAAACTGAACTTTAAAACCACTTTGTGCTTGTACGATGGGGGATATGGGAGAGAGGCAACACATGATTTGACTGCTTCAAAACCTGACATGGTTTTATGCTAAAGCTTCTTGAACATTACGGCTGTAGGAAACTGAAAGTGAGTATGAAGTTGAAGCTGCATTGGTAAAAATCAATAGAAGTAACTGGAAGGACTGAACCAGACGCTTTCTGTTCTTCAGTGATTGTTGACAAGGAAGGAAGTTAGTTGACCACTGATGCTTGAAGTCTGATGATACTCACTTTTACAAGTTTCCAAGGTACTTGAGAGACATGGGACAAAAAAAACAGGGCCTCTGAAATAATTGAGACCCTGGGTATGTGATAGAATCTATTTTGGCTTCCTTACAGGACAAAGAAGCACAGGTTTGGGGGATTTTTTTTTTTTTTTTTTTTAAAGGAAATCTTTTATGCGCCTGATTTCGGTGCCTGGTACTTAGAGGTATTTTAGTGGTCCATGAATTGACTTGTTTTATAACTGCTACTGATACTGTCTTGCTTTTAAATGTATGCATAACATTGTAATGTGATGTTGAACACTTAGGTATTTGCCAGGAATCACAGTGTTCTGATCTTACATGCTATTGCAGGGGCTAATAAAGCTGCAGCCTACTTCTGTTCCAGAAAGTTGTGACTTAACCATAATGTAAGGGAAAGAAAAAGAATAGGCTTTTGATTTTGAAAATTTCCACCACTTACTGTGCTTTATATGCTTAGATGCATTGCCTTAAGTTTTCTGCGGCATCTTTGACTTTGAAGATAAGATTCTCAACAGTATGCATCAAATTACTTTTCATATAAAATTCCATTGTCAAAAGAAATCCTTTTGTATGCAATAAATAAAACGTTAGACTGGTATCATTCAAAATCTGTTTCTTATGCAAGTTTTTTTTTTTTCCTTTTGCCTTGTTTTGCCTTTGTTAAGTCTTGAGCTGTAAAAATTCTTCTGCATACATGTGTTCTTATAGGTACTGCCTAAGAAAAAATTCTCTCGGTGAAGGATCAACATTTAGCCACAGTTAAATATGTTGATAAACAGAACCATCTGGAACTTAGGAATTCAGGAAAATGCCCTTATGAAGGATATCAAAATACTAACTTGTGCGTATGTGAGTAAACATACAATGCCAGTTTTGGCAGGTTGCAGAACAGTGGTAATGTCAGTTTGGGCAACTGCTGTAGAGTTGAAGTTCCTGAATCTCGGGACGAGTTATTAAACTGGCTGATACTAGCTTGTTAATAGCTGCCTGACATGCCTTCCTGAAGTCGTATGTGAAGTTTAAAATAAAAGCTGTAACATGCAGCTGTTCGGACTAGTTTCCCACAGCGCAGGGTACCGAGCTGCTCTTTTGGATGAGGTATGCCACCTCCGCAGGTACGCTGTAGTGTTTACGTCAGCGTTGCTGAGGTTTGGTTCCCCAAGTACGGACGCTCCTGAAGGCGGCTGCGCCGGGCTAATAAAGCTGCAGCCTACTTCTGTTCCAGAAAGTTGTGACTTAACCATAATGTAAGGGAAAGAAAAAGAATAGGCTTTTGATTTTGAAAATTTCCACCACTTACTGTGCTTTATATGCTTAGATGCATTGCCTTAAGTTTTCTGCGGCATCTTTGACTTTGAAGATAAGATTCTCAACAGTATGCATCAAATTACTTTTCATATAAAATTCCATTGTCAAAAGAAATCCTTTTGTATGCAATAAATAAAACGTTAGACTGGTATCATTCAAAATCTGTTTCTTATGCAAGTTTTTTTTTTTTCCTTTTGCCTTGTTTTGCCTTTGTTAAGTCTTGAGCTGTAAAAATTCTTCTGCATACATGTGTTCTTATAGGTACTGCCTAAGAAAAAATTCTCTCGGTGAAGGATCAACATTTAGCCACAGTTAAATATGTTGATAAACAGAACCATCTGGAACTTAGGAATTCAGGAAAATGCCCTTATGAAGGATATCAAAATACTAACTTGTGCGTATGTGAGTAAACATACAATGCCAGTTTTGGCAGGTTGCAGAACAGTGGTAATGTCAGTTTGGGCAACTGCTGTAGAGTTGAAGTTCCTGAATCTCGGGACGAGTTATTAAACTGGCTGATACTAGCTTGTTAATAGCTGCCTGACATGCCTTCCTGAAGTCGTATGTGAAGTTTAAAATAAAAGCTGTAACATGCAGCTGTTCGGACTAGTTTCCCACAGCGCAGGGTACCGAGCTGCTCTTTTGGATGAGGTATGCCACCCCGCAGGTACTCAAATTACTTTTCATATAAAATTCCATTGTCAAAAGAAATCCTTTTGTATGCAATAAATAAAACGTTAGACTGGTATCATTCAAAATCTGTTTCTTATGCAAGTTTTTTTTTTTTCCTTTTGCCTTGTTTTGCCTTTGTTAAGTCTTGAGCTGTAAAAATTCTTCTGCATACATGTGTTCTTATAGGTACTGCCTAAGAAAAAATTCTCTCGGTGAAGGATCAACATTTAGCCACAGTTAAATATGTTGATAAACAGAACCATCTGGAACTTAGGAATTCAGGAAAATGCCCTTATGAAGGATATCAAAATACTAACTTGTGCGTATGTGAGTAAACATACAATGCCAGTTTTGGCAGGTTGCAGAACAGTGGTAATGTCAGTTTGGGCAACTGCTGTAGAGTTGAAGTTCCTGAATCTCGGGACGAGTTATTAAACTGGCTGATACTAGCTTGTTAATAGCTGCCTGACATGCCTTCCTGAAGTCGTATGTGAAGTTTAAAATAAAAGCTGTAACATGCAGCTGTTCGGACTAGTTTCCCACAGCGCAGGGTACCGAGCTGCTCTTTTGGATGAGGTATGCCACCTCCGCAGGTACGCTGTAGTGTTTACGTCAGCGTTGCTGAGGTTTGGTTCCCCAAGTACGGACGCTCCTGAAGGCGGCTGCGCCTCCAGCCAGCTGCCATCAGTAACCGCCACGAGAAGCGCAGGCGCCAGCGGTGCCCGGGCCAGGGGCCTCGCCTGCCTCTCCGCAGCTGCGAGTGCCGCGGCAGCCGCAGCCCGGCTTTTAACTGCCCGGGTCTCGCCATCACGTGCTCCTCGCGGCAGGCGGCGCGGCTGCACGTGCTCTTCCGGGTAAAACCTCCCGCTTTGTGACCCGGGGCCGCCGCCCCGCCCCCTCCACCTCTGCCCTCGAGCGCGTGCACCGCCCCCCGCACGGGGCCTGGCGTGCCGGACGCCGTTCAAGCCGTTTCCTGTTTGGGAGGGGCCTGAGAGGGTGGACCAATCGAGCACGTGCATCGTACGAGCTGCCCAAATAGGAGCGCGGG